CCTCCCCGCACGACAAATAAGAAGGGAAAATAATATGAGAAATTTTCGCGAAATATGTGCACGTGCAAATAATGAATGTTTAAAAAAATAATAATTCGGGATAAAGTGTAATTTGAATGACGCTGAATATTCCTTCAAATTCCTCCTATTCCTCCAGGCCATTTCGTGGTTTTCAGCAATTTTAACAATCAAAAATGAAATCAACTATAAATTTCCACTAATTTGCCAACGTTTCATGTGATACATCCACTCCTCATCAGGGCAATTTATTAAATTTTCATCTACAAAAAGAAATATAAAACCATTAACATGCATTTTGATTGAGACACTCACTGCTTGAAATAACTGATTGAAGATAAAACCATATACTAATTCAAGGATAACAAACCAAATCTACATTCCTCATTAAAACCCCTACCCATTTAAAGAAAAACATTTTGACTTCAAAATTCCACAACAAATTTAAGGAATGCCAAAAATAAATGAATCTAGCCGCAATCCTAGCCTGCAAAAACCACAGCCAATATTTACATTGCATTCTTTTATACAAATTACATCAGTTTCCATTTCACACAAATAACTTACATCAACTTGGAGCAAATAAAATATTCATAATATGTTGAATATTCATTTTTTTTTTCAAATCTTTCTCACGCAATTCAATTAACAAATTTGATGATTGAATTTCACCAGAAACGCGCGTCAATAATAAATAAAAAATCACAGGTTTATATATTGGCAATGTCAATAAACAATCAAAATATTCATTCAAATAATGGATGTATAGAAACGTGGAAACAATGATACATAAATTTTGGAAAATATCAATCGAATATTAGTAAAAGAAAAAACAATGCTTCAAATAAGACCGTTAGCTTTTACATAAATACATCTCACAGAAATGAGTTTGTCATATAAAAATCAGTTCGATAAAATACGTCAATTAAGAAATAACTTCACTATTCAATGATACATATGTTTATAATATATAGAGATCAACGTTATTTGAGAAAAGAAAGGTACAAGTATTGCACTAAAATCCGGCTACTTATCTTATTTTATTGCTCGGTGAGGAAAGAGGAAGAGTCCTCTTTCCGACAAGTGTCCTAGCTTCGATATCCTCCCTCATTATTTTTCTTCAAGTAGTGGAAGACGGAATAAGTGGGGAGAGGCATTAAACGGAATATTAAATTGAAATCATCCCACGACGAGGTCAAGCCTGAAATTTATCACAAACCTATAGCGTAGTCTATACCAAACTGTAAACGATACCTGGATATCATTAATTGGGAATTCATTGTAATTCGGTATTGAATTGAAAATTCCAATAGGTTGAGGAACTGACTCATCGCGATGCTGTTGAAAAATTTGGAATATGATTGTATTTTTAGAAAAATCTGAAATTTCATGAATTTGACCCCCTTAAGGGGTCTTCGCAGTACTTTTGGGTAAAATATGACAATGGGCTTGCGAATTAAATATATCATATAGTAATGAAAAATGTTAAAAAGGTATTTGTAAAAGCAATTCTAACTACTTTTATGGTTTCGTTCGTGTTTAATTAATTATTCAAATTGCGCCTTATACACAACCTTTATGGACGCTACTTTGTCCCATACCCCTCACACTGTTGACAATGTGCTAGCCAGCAAAGGAAGCTAAATTGTTCTATATTACGCCCTAAACAATATGGGCGCGAAGTCCCATTGGGTTTTATCGTTGATTTGTTCAATAAATTAATGATAAAAATACTTTGGCGATGTCTGTCATTATCCAACATACGCCATGTTTGATGTCCCGTCTCTCTCGAAACTAACCTCACTAACTTGACTATTTCACACTCCACTCACCCGCGCGCCCATCGCAACTGCGGAGATCCCTTAAATCATATTCAATGTCATTCTCCTGAAAATTTTATATTTTTATATTTATTTATACTCACCAGCAGATTCAAAAAATAGGGTAAACAGGTGAATTTCTGGACGCGGGTTAGTTTCTGGACGATTTCAACTTGCATTGAATATTCCATAAATGAAATGAAAATTGTACTGATTATTTCACCTGTCAATAATATTACTCGTGTATAATCATGTGATCAATTATTTTTCCCGTTGATCGACATTTAGTAAAAAAAAAATATCGCCTAATCGTCCAAAAATTAGGGGTTTCAGTTGCATTCAACTATTCCTCAATTGAATTGTTCTTTGTTTTGTTATTTTCGCTTTTTGATTTGCATGGAAGCCATCAATCCCCATTTAAGTGGTTCTTTTATTTTAGATCCTACCACGAAACTTGAATTTCCCTTAAGGTTAATTAACCGTTCAGCAATTGGCCTGTTCACCCTAGATCTTTTCTTGATATTGCTTGTACATCGTGGGGATTTATATGCTCGAAATGAACTCGAGCATATGGTTATTAATTCATAGTCAATCTTATCAACATCCATGCGGCAGAAGTCAGGGTATCTCCCATTCTAATGGTAAGGACCCTTGCCCTTCTATTAATATACACGGTACACTAAATTGAAATTCCTTCAGAAATAGCTCTCATTAAGTTTATCATCGTGAAGTGAAACTACCACATGCAGAGTAATGAACGGGTAATACTCGTAGAAAGAAAGCCTTTCTCTTGAATTTGTGACGAGGAAAATAAGATTTATGGCGCTTTGTAGT